CAGTGGCTCTCTCCTGCTTCCTGCATCACAGCTTGCTTTTGCCCAGCTCTCTCCTGCTTTGTAGGGGAGAGAAAGAAAGGCAAGCCTCCCTTCCCCTCCTCCTCTGGGGAGGAAGGAAGGGAGGGAGAGGGGAGAGAGAGAGAGAGATGAAGTCCCATGACACCTTTAAGACCAACAAAGTTTTATTCCCGGTATAAGCTTTTGTGTGCATACACACTTCTTCTTCAGAGAGAGAGAGAGAGAGGGGGGGGGGATTTTTCTGACAAGCACAATTTACATTAAGATTGCCCTGCTCTGCTGTTTACTTTGAGACCTGATCAAACACACACACGTTAAAAAGGGGACGGGGGACGGGAAAGAGATGCACCTGGGATAAAGGAATTAAAAGGAGCGGTGGCGCAGGGAGTATAACACCTGCATTTAACATCTCCTCGAGCACCTGTTCGAGTCCCACCGTGGTCGAGGTGAGCTTTCGACCCTTAGTCCTAGCTCCCGCCCACCCAGCGGTTCGAAAGCCAAGTAACTATCGGCGAGTAGATAAATGGGTACCCACCCTTAGTAGGGTGGGGGGCACCCTCCTCCGTCTATGGAGGTGTGTGGAGAAGCAGCGGCACTGGCAGCAATGGCGGCGATAGCAACGGCGAGAACAGCGGCGGCAGCGGAGCAATGGCGGTGGCGATTGGAGGAGGCGGCGCAACGCTGAGAGGTGGCAAGCGGCGGCGAGCAGAGCCTGGCTGATCCCTGGTGGCCAGCAGTGAAAGAACAAGGCGGCTGCCGTCGACGGAGGCTGAGCAACATCATCCAGAGGCGCGCGGAGCCGGAAAGGACATGGTCGGGCCGAGGACGACGTCGCCAGCATTCCCTACCCCCCCACCCCCCATCTGCTTGAGCACCAGACATCGTGCAGCCAGAAGGAGCCGAGCCGAGGAATGCTTTCACCAGGGTGTCGGTAGGGAATTCCCCCCCCCCTGTACCAATGTGTGGCCGTAGTTAGGGTCGATATAGGTGATTAGCACCCAAGAACTGTAAACCGCCCAGAGACCCCTACGGGGGTTAGGGCGGTATATCAAGCCGAAGGATAAATTAAAAAATAATAATAAAATAAATAAACTATTTTGGCTTATTCTGAAAAGTTGGTTTTTTTAGATTAGATTTCTCTGTGCTTATCTTGGATTTTATTTTCTTTCAAAAAGACCCTGATTAGGAATTACAACACTTGGATTGAATTCCATTGTTCAATGCATTTGTGGTTCCATATACTCCAGTTCAACACATCATCTCCCCTTCTCCCCTCCCATCTCACTGGCTGCCTTGCTTCACATTAACCCCCCTTTGCTTTTTAACTGTCTCATTATCATCACTAGCACTGAGTGAATTTTGCTCAGTGTGAAATCAACATATTATTTCAATTGTATAGATCTCCCATTCCAGTTCTAGCAAATGGGGGGAGAGAAATCTAACAGCACAGCTTGTAATCTTTATTAATGGAAGGGAGCAAGAGTCCAGTAGCATCTTAACGACTAACAATAGGCATGAGCTTTCATGCATGAGCTTTCATGAGTCCCTGCTCACTTCTTCAAATACAACTAGAATGTGAGTCCATCTGTTCTTGTTATCTTGAAGAGTGAAGTGATTTCAGACGCCAAATGATAACAGTTAGCATTGGTAATGAGAGAAGAAACCTAGGTCTCAATTCAGTCCAGGAGGATGCATTGTCTTGAGCTTCATTATCAGCTGCAATTCAGCAATCTCTTTCTAATCTCCCTTTGAAATTCCTTTGTAAGAGAACTGCTATTCTTAGGTCAGCAACTGAATGTCCTGGAAGGTTAAAATGACCCCCCACTGTTTTTTTAATGCTGTGGTTTCTAATAACAGTAGAAAGAGTAAGAGTTCAGTAGCACCTTAAAGACTAACAAAATTTGTGGTAGGGTATGAACTTTTGTGAGTCACTGCTCACTTCTTTAGACTTATTTCCATTTATTCTTTTCATCTTCCTGAACTGAATCCTCCTGGACCAAATTGAGACCTAGGTTGCTAATGCTGATATCTCCATGCCTACTACCCCTCTGCATATCACACCTAATCCACTAAGGCATGCTATTGCCATTCAGCATCTGACATCATCTTTATAAAGTTTATATCTCCTGTACCTCATGTACATTATATTTACTTTTAATTTATTGTAATCATAAACTAATTTGAAGTTTGTTTAAAGGCGTGATATCAAAGTGAACTAATACTGACCTTTGGTGGTATTACATCTTTGATAATCTATGTATGTCAGACTAGACAACTTCAAGACAGATATATATTAGGTTACAGATGCAAATAGGATAGAAATAACTATGATGCAAGCAATCAGCTACACATTCTTCCAGAATGACCAGAATCCCTCATCTCTTTTTAAGCATAGATTTTTGTTAGTTTCACTGGTTCCTGGTGTAATCCTGCAGGTATCTGAATTTAAAAATGTGACTCCGCTATCATGACTCAAAGATCACTGTTATACTGATTTTTAAGTTAATGAAGTTCACATTCATAAAACACTTTCAGACTGAGTATAGATTCATCTATCCAGATAACATTCTCCTCTTACAACAAGAATGTAACTATAATTCATATATTATTTCTTGAAAATTCTTTAGAAAAGTTCTTCATAGAAAAAGTGTAAGTTTTAGTCTGCCTTAATTATATTTTATTATTTGTTTTTTAAAAGCATTTTATGCTGCCTTTCCACCCAAACAGGGTCCACAAGGTGGCAAACATAAAAAACATTAAAACATTAAATGATTAAAAATACAGTTAAAATGTAAAATTCAATTAAAAATACACAAACAACACTAGAAGGAAAGCCAAAAAAATGTTACTGGGGGTATTCCATATGAAACGAAAATCTTCACTTACTGGCAAAAGACACTGAAAGAGAGAGACAGATGAATCTCCCTGAGGGGGGAGTTCCAAAGTTTTGACCCTTTCTTGGGTTGCCACCTATCTTGCCTCAGTGCTGGCAAGTGAAGCAGTGCCTCTGAGGATGACTGGAGTGAGCATGTAGTTTCATATGGGAGAAGGCGGTCTTTAAGGTATGCTGGTCCCAGGCTGTACAGGGCTTTAAATGTCCATACCAGCACATTGAACTGAGCCCAGAAGTAAATTGGAAGCCAGTGGAGGTGGAACAAGCCTGGAATTCTATAGTCCTTATGACCTACCTACCCTATGACCCTGTCAGCACTCTGGCTGCAGCATTCTGTATCTGCTCTACCTTCTAGATGGTTTTCAAGAGCAGCCCCACATAGAACACATTGTAATATTCTAATCTAAATGTTTCAGGGCATGCACCACAGTGGCAAGATTTTTCTGCCCAGGAAGGGCTGCAGCTGGCTCACCAGCTAAGGCTGTTGAAAGGCACCCCTGGCCACCACTAATAGCTGTTTATCTAGTAGGAGGCTCGGGTCCAGGAGCACCTCCATGCTACAAACCAGCTACTTTAGGGGGAGTCCTGGGTTAATAATAGCGATAGTTTTCAGAATTATTTTAAACAAGAGGCACAGCTTAGCCCATACTTGTAAGCTCCCCTTCTACAGTAACAGTATGTCCTGTCCACTGCATTGTTATAGCCCATAGGGGGCATCCTTTGGGCAATGTGTTTCACAGCACTTATTGGAGGTTGCAGTATACCCCATTCACTCCCAATGGCTGAGACTGAATAGGAATGACCAAATTGCTAACCTTAACAAAGTTCATGCATTCTTGTAGTTCAAGAATCTAGAAAGTTCTTATATCTATGTCCTTTTTACTCACCTGTTTGTGGCTATGCACTTCCAGTAAGGGCTATAGTTCTAAAAGGGGAACACATTTAATGCAGAAATGTTTTGTACATTTCTTCTTTATTGGTTGCAAGATCACCCTTGTGCCTGTGGGTGCCATGGTGCCTTCCAACACCTTTCCTGGTGCCTGCCAAGTGTTTTTAGAAAGAGGGCAAGGTGCCTTTTGCCCAGCATAGCTTCTAATTGGCTATTGGAGATTTGATTGGCTATGCAGATTAAAAAAAAACCTTCAGCGGCAGATCTTCACTGCATGACTGAAAGTAAGCTGTGTATGCAGGAAAATATTTTAAAAGAATATATTCTATTTAAAAGGTATCCTATTAAGCAGAACTTCTGTCTGAAATGTTGAAGAATTGCTACTTGAGTTATGCATAATCTCACTCACTGACATTTCATGGTTGACTTCAGCTCTTATGGCAGCCATTTTGTGATTGTTCCCACCACCCTTTTGTCAGAATTCCAAAGGAGACCACAGGATCCAAAAGGTTGGGGACCCCTGTTATAAGTGCTTCACTATTGCAACTAATAAATCTTTCTTTTCATGAGAAGCTGAATTCAATTGTGATAAACCCAACAATCAAGTAATCATTCAAAACCTGTGGTTCAGAGTCTTTGAAATGAGTCAGTGCACCTAATTTGATTCTACTTGGTGTCAAAAATAAATGCTTTGGCACTGACTCAGTGATAGCTATGTGTCTGTGACTAACATAGACCACCGTAAATAAGTAGCTGAGAACAACGATAAAACTGTTTCCATTCCTAACCATGAGTCTCCAGTTTCAAGCAGCTACTGCTCAACGGAAAACAATTCATGTAAACACAGCTAAGAAACATTAACCTAATCCTAACCATTTTCTTGCAACAAATACTTCTGGATACCTCCTGAACATGTTTACTTTGAGGTATGTCCCAGTGATTTCTACAGAATTCTAATTTCCTAGTAAATTTCAATAAAATTGGAACTCAGAATTACACAGCAGAAATGTAAGTTATCTTCATTACATGGCCTTCTCCTTACCACTGATAATAACATCGGAGTTCTCAGTTTAGGCATTCATATAATATTTTCTCAATACTTAATAAAAATACAAGGACTAGGTTGCAAAGTAAACATGAATAGGGGAGAAAAATGATTAAACTCAGCAAATGCATTTTAATTCCAAGAATTATTATTACCTGTTTCAGGAAATGTGCTTGTATTGCATAGTTGTTCTTTTCCTTCTCCCGCAGCTGTTGCAGCCTTTATTTGAAACTGGTAAGAGGTATTTGATAACAAGTCTCTGAAAGTATGCACTGTTTCATTATCAGAAGACAAGATTGTTGAATTCCTTCCAAACGTTATGATGTAATGGGTAATAATCCCATTTGTCTTCAAAGGAGGGTCCCAGTAGGCTAAGACTGACTGCCAACTGGTTGCAGTACACTGGATATTCTGGACAGTATCTGGAGCTTCAAAGAAAAGCATGCAACAGAGGTTAACATTCCTACAAAACTAAAAGGGCAACTGCATTAAAGTATATTTCAGGATGAATACAATAATGTTTCAAGAGTGAACATTCCAACCTTTGCTACTAACACCACAAGAGCTCATGAGTAATGTTGTTAAGTCCTTGGGTTTGCATTCAGCAATTCCAAACTTGCTTGCAACAATGTCCTCCTCAAATCAATTAGAAGCTTTGATAAATTTTGTGCAAAATGGGATTTAGCAGTGTGAGTGTAGTAAGAATGTCTCTAGATACATGAGACTATACTTTGGAATCTACTGTCAAGTAAAGGAGCCTTCGATTCACCAAGTTCTGGTGCTATAAAGCATTTAAGACAGAGAGTCAGCTTTATTGTATATTGCTGCAAAAGCAGAGCCTTACATTGCAACAGTTTAAAAAATGTCCTAAACCAGGGAAGTGAAGCAAAAGAAAAAGTTCTGTTTTCCTTTTAAAAGCTTTATTAGCTGTTTTAACCTTAGCTTCCTATATTCTTCCAAAGTATCATTATGCTGAAGTTATAGTGATAGAACCAATCCCAGCTGCTGCCCCACCTCAGGGAATCTTGCTTTCAGGCACAGAAACATGGCACCAAAGTCTCCTCTAGCATTGCAATAGAGCACAGGGGTGAGTTGTATTTCCCACTGTTGGAAATAAATTCAAGTCATCAAGGAAAACAGGGTTGCACTTACGTGTAACTGCTGTTTATTGAGTATCTTCTGTGCAGGCACACCTGGGGACTGCACATAAGCAGGCCTGCCATCGGTGAGGTTTACAGCTAAAAGCCTCCAGGGGGCAATGCGTGCTGGAGTTAGAATCTTAATTCCCACCCAGGGACCATGTGCTCCCAAGTCATAGTGCCCTCACCCTCAGTACCTCTAGCACCACCGAAGCAAGAACATACAGTGGGGCAGGATGGGGGGTATGTGTGCCTGCATAGAAGACACTCGATGAACACCAGTTACACATAAGTGCTACCCTGTTTTCATCATCCATCTTCTGTGCAGTCCCACATAGGGATTCTAGCAAGCTGTTCCACAGGGGGTGGGGCATGCTCACCTCACTTAAACATAGACTGAAGTACGGCCTTCCCCCACTTGGGCCTCTTGTCTCACTTGCAGATCCAAGGCATAGTGGCATATGATGGTGTCTGTAGACGACTAAATAGCAGCTTGGCAAATCTCTATCAAAGGCATACCATTGGAGACGGCTGCAGAGGAAGCTACAGCTCTAGTAGAACGTGCATTAAACTAGGGAACATGGAATGTCTGCTCATTTATAACATTGTCTTATGGTAGAGGCAATCCATCTGGGCAGTGTCTGAGAAGAAACCTTCTTCCCTTTATTAAGTCCCACAAAACATACAAATAATGTTTTATCCTTACGAAACTCCTTGGTGCTTCTAAGGTAAAACAACAGTGCCCTTCTAACATCTAAGGAATGCGGGAAATGTTTATCCTTTGGTTGAGGCGCAGGCGTCCATTAAAGTTGGCCTCCCTGCTCTCAATCTGGCTCCCAATCTGCTGAAAGGGTCCTCTGATTCCACCTGTGGCTCTAACAGATATGAAATTCTTGCTACCAATATGAATTTTATTGCTAGTGTTTTAACTGTTTTTAATGCGATTTTATTATAATGAATTTTGGACTTGGCTTTTGTGATCCACCCTGAGCCCGCTTTGGGGAGGGCAGATTAAAAATCTCAAAAATAAATTAAAATAAATAAAATAAATTCTCCAAACTTGGCATGGGGAAAAATACTGGTAAAATAATCTCTTGAGATAAATGGAACTTGGAGACCACTTCAGGGAAGAACCTGAGACTGTGTCGAAGTACTACCGTCTCAGGAAAGATTTTTTAAAATGGGGGTTCCACCTGTAGGGCTGCAAGTTTGCTTTCCCTTCTGGCTGATGTGACCACCACCAAGAAACAGACTTTCACAGAAAGGATCCCTAAAGGGGGCAAGGGCTTCATAAGCTCTATCGAATTCAACATAGCTCCTATAAATTGGACCCTTTGAGACAGGACTGAGATTTTTCCCAATTGACCAGAAGCCCTAGTCTTTGGTAAGTCTCCAAAACTAAAGAACAATGTCTCATTACCTGGTCTTTGGAGTCAGCAACCACTAGCCACTCATCCAAACAGGGAAAAATATAGCAACCTTGTAGCTGTATATAGGCTACTACTGGGGACAAACATTTATAGAATACCCTGGGTGCCATGACCCTGGGTGCTGCGTATTGAAACACATGCCTCCCACATGAGAAGCATTTGTGGTATTGCTGAGGAACAGAAATATGAAAATAAGCATCCTTTAAATCAAAAACAATGAACCAACAGTTTAATTTTAATAATTTCAAAATCAAGGGAATAGATGCCATGCAAAATTTGGAAACAATAAAGAAACATTCAGTTCTCTCAAATCTATGATAGCCCCTGTTCTTCCATCTTTTTTACCAACCAGAAACATTCTGGAGAAAAACCCCTCTGTTGCCAGAGGCTCTGACAGCTCCTCAATGGCACACTTTTCAATCAAAGCACTTAGTGCCTGCAATAGGCCAGGTACTACCTGCTTAGATACTCCCAAAATGGGAGAACATGGGGTACTTCCTTGAACTCTAGTCTATAAGCTAGACTAACTATAGCTAATACCCACTCATTAGAGGTGATGGGTTCCCAGGCAGCATAAAACTGTGCCAGTCTGTTGCGGAATTTGACAGACGTATGGACCCGTCCTAGTCAGAAAAATGGTTTCTGTGATTGTGGGACCTCTCTGGGCAGAGGTAATTCGGTCATCAGCCTAGGTTGGCTGGAAGCCTTGCATTTCTGTTAGCTTTGCTGTGGCACAAATGACTTAGACACAGGCTACTGGGTTGGAATATTGGTAATCCCTCTGATACGTGTGCCAGAGCTGCTGTGTAAAGGGTCTCTGCTTGTACTGGGTCATGGAAGGTTGAGACACCCCTAAGGACTTTGCTGTTCATTTATTTTTCTTTATTAGGGACAGTGCCTTGTCCGTCTTAATGGAAAACAAAGTGGAACCTTCAAAAGGGAAGTCCTCTACTTTTTGTTTGGACTCTGCTGATAGTGCTGTGGACCTTAACCAGGTGTGACAGCTGAGGACTATAGCACTTGCCATAGTTGCAACATCCGCAGAATGTTTGCCAGCATTTATCTACTGTTTTGACAGCTTGATGGCCTTGGCTTGTAACACCTTGGCAAGGGGCCTCTTCTCTTCTGGCAGTAGTTCCAAGGATAGCATTCATTACCATAGGAATAATTGGTAGCCAGCCATAACAGTTTCGTAATTGGCGATCTTAAATCCCAGTGCAAATGAGGAGCATAATTGTTATCCCAAGATGTCTAGTTTCCATCCCTCTCTGTCAGTTGGCACAGAATGGTAGGCTTGGTGGCTCTTATGCTGCATCTCCTCTGTTACTAATGACAAAAGTGGAGGATTTCTTGTAAGGTAATTGAGAGTTTCCTTTTTAATTCTGTAAAAGTGCTCAACCCTCCTAGAAGTAGGTTGCAGTGATGCTGGTTTTTGCCAGACTTCCTGTGTGAGATCTTCCAACCCCTCCAAAATTACCTGGGGAATTGGAATACAAATGACTTAAGATCTTGTCCCTTGGCTTATGTTCCAAGGTGATGATCTCAATCTCTAAGGACTGTGCCCTTTAAATCATTTGTTCGCTATACATGCGAATGTCCTCCATTGGGGATGCTGCTTACAGTTCCTCTACTGTCTCATCAGGGCTTAGATTCAATGCAGATCCATCAGAATCAGGGGCTGTCTCTTCCCTCCTACTCAGTATGAGAGAAGTATGGAAGAAGGTGGCCTGCAGGACACTGTAGCTGAAGGTGGGTACGAATGAGTCTGATGTGAATAGACATATAGATTCTGATCCCTAGGCCAATTAAGGTTGTCCCATTCCCCCAGATATCCATCATGTATGGATTGGAAGGGCATCTCATAGGTGGTTGGGATTGTGACCAAGGAATAGTCAACAACTGTTTAGTTTTGATGTTATGTGGAACCTGTTCTGGTGGTTCCCCTTCTATTTCCCCTTCTAAGATTGACACAGGGGCTGATCTTGGATTCGGGGACAGCATCCTTGGCATTTCCTGTTAGGTTGGGATTGGCTCCGGCATTCAGATTATGGCCCATTGTTGGGACCCAGTCTTTTGTTTTTCTTTGTTCTTCAATTTGGTCTTAGCCTTCTTGGCTGGAGGCTCAGACAATGCGCACTGGATCCCAGGAGAGCACAAATTTGAACAAACACATTGAGACCTAGAGTTGATTGTGTCAAACCCAATGCTGGTTTTTCTGGAGCTGATATGGATGCAGGGTGTGAGGCTATTAAGTGCTTTCTCCCACAATGCTGCCTTTAATTCGGAAGATCTATTCCCTCTAGCTTTGTGGATAAACCGTTGGCACATCTTACAAGTGGGGATGTTATGTCCTTCACCCAGACAGAGCAGACATAAATCATGTTCATCCAACTGGATAATTTTCACCCTACAATGGGTACACTTCTTGAAAAGCGCCTTCTGAGCCATATTTCAAACAATCATTCCAATAATCTTTCGAACAATAATTCCTCACCAATCTGAAACTCCAGAGACTAACAAACCAATAACCTACTCCTTTGATGGCAAAAGAGGAACTGAAGGTGGGGGCACAGCAGTGTGGGAACATGTGGTCCCTGGGTGGGAACTAAGACTCTAGCTCCAGCATGAAGCACCCCTTAGAGGCATTTAGCTGTAAACCTCTCTGATGGCAGGCCTGCTCACATACAGACCCCAGGTGGGACTGCACGGAAGATCAATGATGAAGTGGATCCACTTCTGTATGTCTGATCATCATGTACATTTAAACAGCCAGTATCTGAACTCAGATAATTTGAAAGCAAGGATTTTGTCCCATTACGTCCTCTCTGTTAAGACCAAATAAGAAATGTCAATGTCACATATAAAAATGCTTGCTGAATAAAGAGATGATTATTATTACATTGCTTTACATTATATCACATCCAGAGAAGGTAAAAATAATTTAATTCCGCTATGAAAGCAAAGAAAATGCATCCAGCACTGCATTTTAATAGATCTAACCTGATTCCTTTGTTGTAAATTGAACAACATTACTGAATTGATTGCCATTTCCAAATCTTGTGAATGCAGATACACTGATGAAGTAGGTGCTGAATGGTTCTAGTCCAACAATATTAGCTTCAGTATGGGAACCTGAAACATTCTTAGATGGAGAAAACAATTACTGTACAACTGTTATTTTGCAAGATTTTCTATAGAAGTCTGGAAACATTAGTTTCCCACAAGAGTTTTGAGCTACTCCAGGACATTTTTAAAAAACCTTTTCTTAGAATAGCTCTTCCACATACCATATAAAAGTCCCCCTAATTTCAAAAATGGTTCATCAAGTGGCACAAGGGATCAGATCAGGGGCTTACTATAATTTCTGACAGCAGTCTAATATGTTCAGGACTAGTCTTGCTCAATTATCCCTAGGCTGTGGCCCACACCGATGATGCCTTGATGCATGTCAAAGCCTAGAGGCCATTGATCAAACTGTCTTTCATAATGTAAAACATCTGATTTATGTATTTAGAAAATTTCTATGCCACCTCTCCAGACAACCTGCTTGAGAAATCTTACAAAGTAAAACAAAATAAAATAGTATTAAAAACATAAAAAGTTAGGAAAACTATTAAAAACCCAGCCAGAGCACTAAATTCAGAAGAAAAAATAGACCACTACCATTACAAACCTGTACAGGGGCAGGCAGAAATGCGCAGACTTTGCTATGAAGGCCACAGCCTGCTCAGTAGTGATACTTCTTAGCACAAGAGAACTACATTTCCCATGATGCTGAGAGGCCTGCAGGACAGCATTAGGGGCTGCTGATCAGGCAGCTGCTTTTATGATACATAAAAATGTCCCATCTCCCTTTGGTAAGAAATGTAAATTGAGTGATGAAGTTAGGAGGAAGGACCCAATTTCAGTAGACATCAACAAACTTCACAAGTTCATACTGTCTTCTGGGATCTAGTGTACTGCCTTGGTTTTGGGGAAGGGATTATCAAAACACCAATTCACACTGTTAATCTTGCCCTGTTGAATCCTAAAGAATATTGCCAAGAATATCCATCAGCTGTCCTAAAGAAGGTCTTATTTTTGCTTATTACAGACTCAACTATGATGGAAAAACAACAACAGATCCTAAAAGCAACCTGACTCAATGTAACTGTGATAGCTCAAAGATGCTGTGGACTCTATTGAGGTCACAGTGAATTGGGTTACATGGCAAGATTCTTAAATTGAGCATGAATAGATTAACACGGTTAATTTGGAATCATGTTCTGAAATCAGGATAAATCATTTGGCATGTTTGAATTGTTCTCATATTAACCTGTACAGTTACAATACAGCTTCCTTCCACACAGAAACGATGCTTTGTGTAGCTCTTGCTGCTGTGAATGCATTGGCATTTGTAGAAGAACCAGATGCAATGTCCCTGTGCCTCAGCCTCCAAGAAGCAAGTGACCAGAGAGTTACAGCTAGATAAGTAGATACTAAGCATCTTCCTGTTTACTCTTCTGTCACTTAACCCTTTGATTTGCAGATTGCTACTCTGAAACTTCCTTTCATCTCCTTCTCTCTCTTCCCGCATGCACACAAAGAGGGAGGACACATTTTCCCTTCTCTGGCACCATGGATGGCAGATGCCTCTCTGCATCTGTATCTATCACTAGCTAGGTAGATTAGAATCTGTCCCTTTCTCTACGCTGCACTATCAGGTATGTATTTCCCAAATAAATCAGTTCTTTTTTTTTTTTAAACTGATGAGTGACTCTGTGTAACTTTGTAGTCTTACAAGCATACGCTGTTCAAAGGGGCTCTGCTGCATTCTGACCCTAGTGCACTCTGTTAACTTTAACAAGGGATCTGGCTTAACATACCAGCTCTCTCAACAGCAGAGCCAACAAAGTATTCAGCATAGCAGTTTCCCCTGCAATTTCCTTTCCTCAGCTTCCAGCAGCCCCTCTTTCCCCCCTCTACTAGAGAACTGTTTTTTTTTGGGGGGGGGATCAGAAATTACTAGATCTTTATACGGCAACAACATTATTATGATTGATTGCCATGATAGTTCCCAGCATTCATTTTTCAAAGTAAGTCTCTTATCGTTTTGTTCTAGAGTTATAAGGGGAAAAGGGACACTTGTCTGCTTACATAACTGCAACAAAAAGAGCAGTTTGAATTTTCCTTAATGCTTTCAGGCGCAAACAGGCTTTTACTGACTAGCCACTAGGTTGGATCCTCTCTCACACACAGTATTCCACCCAATAGTCAGACTAAATGGTACAAGGTCTGCTCATTACCAGAGATAGGCCTAACAATCAGGTACTCCATTTCCACCCAGAGGTAGAGCTAAACCACTCTGCCACTCTATCAGGCAGAGCTACCCTTCAAGCTATCTGCTGTTTTAGTGAGCCAGAACTGAGCTATCACTGCCTTCTCCCTGAGGCCGAACTCAACTCTCACTGCACTCTCCCTGAGGCAGATCTCAACCAATTGCTGCTGTGCTTCCCTCCAACATTCTATCCCCTTCTGAAAGGTGACTGGATGGTGAAGCAACATGCCTATAGGCACAGCTGAGTGGCTATTTTCCCCCTTCAGACACAGGACAGCCTTCGGTCCATCACAGTAAGCAAGGCTCTTTTTGTAGAAAAAGCCCACCAGGAATTCATTAGCATAACAGGCCACAACCAACAGCAGAAACTCATTAGCATATTAGGTCACACCCCTGACAATGCAAGTCTGCCCTCACAGAGGAGGGAGAGCTTGTACCTGAATAAATCTTGGTCTTAAAGGTGCCACTGGACTGTTTTGGATTGCTAGTTATTGGGGGGTGGGGACGCGCAGATGAAGAAAGAAAAGAAAGAAAGAAAGAAAGAAAGAAAGAAAGAAAGAAAGAAAGAAAGAAAGAAAGAAAGAAAGAAAGAAAGAACCACAATGCTATAGCCTAGATTCTAGAACAGTTCACTGTAGAAAATGCATGACAAGCTACATTCAGTAGGAAGGGTATCAGTTTCCATAATATTGGATGGGTAGGAGAAAAAAGCTACTTAGACACTATCATTCTCATGCTTGCAATTGGCATCTAAAATAAAGCTTGAGTAAAGTACCCATGTACACAGGGTAGAGCTGGTTTGTCTTGGGCATACTGCTGGACTCTAGCTTCACTCTCACATCTTTTTGTTAACTCTTGCATTTACATGCTACTTTGCTGCTATCCATCGATTTTACCAGCCACCTGATCCAGTTTCAGCTCTGCATATGTATCTTGGCTCTGAGTGTCCCCCCCAACAGCTGACCCCACCCTCTTTAAGTGCAGGGAGCCGGCAGGAAAGGGCCCTGCCACCCCCTCCCACCCTCCCACACCCCACCCCGACTCCCGGTCAAGCCCCAGCCACCCCCACCCACTGATCAGGCCTTGCCTTACCTTACCTTACTTCTTGCTCTGGTGGCCCGACTGAGGACTGCTCAGTCAGGCCACCAGAGGGCTGTTGGGAGCAGGGGGCATGGTCAAGCAGGAACGCAGCCGGAATACCATGCCAGTACTTTCCACCCCAAAACTAGCCCTGACAGTAAGGCATAACAAATATAGAGTCAGGACTGTACAAACTGGGCATCTATGCAGTTTTTTGTTTTTTTTTAATAAAGATTTTATTGACTCCCCTAAAAAGGGGAGGTATTTCGCTTAAAGGAAAAAATGGGAAGGGTAGACAGTGGGAGAAAGAGAAAGCTGAGTGATATATAAACTGGTAAATTAAACTGTTAGTAATGTCCAATTAATCTTCTTGGGCTTCTTCTGTGTGTTGTCAAACTTCTTTTCTTAGTCCGGTCACGTGTAATTCTCTGTTAGTATGTTAGTAATGTTCCTTTGAATTTCTGTTAATAAAAAAAATCTCTTCTGGGCACATTCAGAACCGCTTCTTTGCGTGCTGGGTACTTTTACTATCACTGATGTGGAGGAGCTTCCTCTGTTGTCTTCTCCTTCCGGCTTGTTAGATCCTCCTTCGGGTTACTGTTAACACTCTCAGTTCATGCACTATAAATCCTCTTCCTTTCATGCCATTACTGGAGATCCCCAGCTTTGAGAATGGTATTAATTTCATTTTCGCTTTTATATCCGCTCCCAAACTCTTTACTGGGTCCTCCTCGCAACTGTTAACTTATATAAGCGCTTGCCAGGCACTCTTCGCTGTCACAGTTCAAACTTTTCCGTTTTACAAAACTCCCGTCGGATTCACAGCCATAAACAGTCCAAACATTAAACAGCCGGCTCTCACGCACAAACAAACGCCCAGACGGAAGTCCCTCCCTTCTTCTCCGCTCGCTTTTGCCCAGCTCCGACATCTTTTCTTTTTTGTTTACTTTTAGAAAGTTCTTAAAATGTGCTCCAGAGAGACAAAACTTTTTCTCGCTTTGTTTCAAATACATCAAAGGAAAACATCACTGTCCGCTCGATCCATTCCCCCCCTCCTTTTCTTTTTCGCTTATACAAATGGAGGGTTAACCTCTTCGCCTTTTTCGCTGGGAGGGGGGGGAAACGTTTTTAGTTCTTTTTCTCTGCATTTTGACAACTCACAGTTAAGCCGATCTTTTCTTTTTCCATTTTTGCGGATGGTCGCTTTATCACTCGGTGACGTCTGGTGGCTCCGCTAAACCCCGTTCGGGGTCGCTCACGCAGCAAGGTCCATTGGGGCAGGGCATGGCGGGAGCCTCGATCTCCGACCTCTCGGCCGAAAGAGCAACTCCCCCTGTTGTGCCCTAAAGCGCCCCGGATCCGAGCTCCTCTCTTCCTGAGGGGCTCGTTCGGGTCTCCGCTCACGCGGATTCCCTCCTCCACCGCGGACGGGCGAGGCGCCCTCGGGAGCGACCCGAGGATGCATCCGCCATTCGCGGGAGCCAGACCGGAAGCCGCATCTATGCAGTTTTTAATGTCAAATAACTGGGTAATAAATATATAGTTGTTGACCTTAAATTAAATCAGGCCTATTTAAAAGTATGAAAATCAAACAATTGCAGCCAATATATTTTTAAAATGTAAACAGAAGATAAATATTCATCCTAATTTTTAACACTGTTTTTCCTAGAATTCTAACATATTATTCTTAGTTTTTCTAAGTAATGTATTTTACTTCATAGGTTTCCAGGGAAATTAGTCCTATC